GTGTGTGTGTGTGTGTGTGTGTGTGTGTGTGTGTGTGTGTGTGTGTGCGCATTGGGTCAGAATGGTGTATTATGAGCTTACACCTTTCACTGACTGAAAGAAAAACACTTTGAATTTTCCATCTCTTTTTAATACTTCTTCACTCTCCATCCTCCTGTCTGTCTGTCCCTTTCCTACATGTTGTCTGCTTTTGTCTCCCCTGTTCTCTGACTTTTCTTTCTGTGTATGTGTGTCTGTTTATATGAATGTGTGTGCGCACTCGCGTGTGTGTGTTTGCACGTGCCTGTGTTCTCGTGTGTATGTTTGTGCATATGTGTGTCTGCATGTGTGTCTGTCTGTGTGTGTGTGTGCATGTATGTGTATGGGTGTGTTTCTTCTCTCCGGCCAGGTGAGAAGGTCATGCAGGATGATGAGTTTACCTGTGACCTTTTCCGCTTCCTGCAGCTGCTCTGTGAAGGACACAACTCAGGTGTGTGTGCGACTTCTCTCTTCTGTGAATTGATTGAGTATATGGCTGAGCACAGGGGCGTTTCTAGGATTCAAAGAAAGGGGGGGCTTAGCCCCAAAGGGAGAGGCATGTTTGCGCCTGCAATTTTTTTTGGGGCCCATATGGCGCAGCGGATATCCATTGTTTCAGACAGTTCATAGATTGGTTCAATCAGAAAGAGAGTGATTTTGCTCTGTAGTTTTGCTTGCATTCAGTATATGATAACACAAGAGACAGAACTTCAGGGTCATAGTGAAATTTGACAACACAAATATGAACTTTTCTCAAATAAAGAGAGAGAAATTATTTTCCTGCTTGTAAAGGAAAGACGGATAAACTAGCTTTCAAATCCTAACTCTTAAAGGGACCGCACACAATGGATGGAGAATGGACCTGACAGTGTCAACTTTATATCGTTCAGTATGATGACAGGCTATTGGATTGTAATTTGAAGGGGGAGAAAACATACAAACCAGAACGCACGCACATATGTATGTTAGAGTTATAAATAAGTTTTTTTTTTTTTTTTTTTTTTTAAAGCCAATAATGCCAAATTATTTGGGGGGGCTGAAGAACATTTTAGGGGGACTTCAGCCCCCCTAAAATGGCCCTAACGGCGCCCCTGCGCTGAGCATCTAATTATGGGAAACGTTATTAATGCTATTAAGGCTGGTTTGAATGCTGATTACTGTTTGAATCGGAAATTTGTTTCTTCAACCAACATGTAAACATTTTGTTTTTGTCTTAGTCTCTTAAACTCTTTAAGCTTTCCTCTATGCAGAATGAATTCTGAGGAATTACATAAAATGTCATGCAATGTTGTATAGAAATGTTACCACTACTTTATTTATTCAATTATTCAACACCTTCTACAAGCGCAAAACTGCTGGTGTTTGTGATATCCTGTTTCAGACTTCCAGAACTACTTGAGGACGCAAACAGGGAACAATACTACGGTCAACATCATCATCTCTACTGTTGACTACCTCCTCAGAGTACAGGTTAGCTCCTTCTCTTCACTTCTGCTGGTTCCTGGTTGAAATGAAATGAGTCTTCATGGAGTCAAACAGTTCTCATACAGACATAAGACACAGACAATAACATAAAACAAAACTTCCATTATTTTACATTTGACTCATTTCTTCTAAAAGACAGTTCAGTGTGAACTTAAGCAACACAAATAACTAGTTAATAATAATAAGTTTTATTCTTTACTATTTAAATCTAATCTAAAAGGAAATTCTTCTTTTCTCTTTTAAAATCAGTTTTTTTAAATGTTTTTGCAATTAATACAGTTATGATGCCATTTCATGCACCTCTTTATTTGCAAAGACACAGAGATGCTGCACCAAGTACTTAGTTAACAAAGAATTTTCACATGACCTGGTGACAATGTCCTAGGCATTTGCCACCATTAGTTATTGCCTGTCTCCCAAATGTACACACCTCTTCCAAGAAAGTCAGTTGGAATCATGTAGATGTACACAGACCCAGGACAGACCATGCACATCTTTGTATTGCTGTATTGTCTTGCAGAGCCACCCTCTGGTTTATCTTAGACTAACTGTATTCACCATTTTGCAAACTTGCAGTTAATCAATGCAGTGAATTATTGTCAACAGTTTGTGAATGTCCCCCAAAGACATGGTATAGAAAATAGTAAAAGTGACAGTGTTCTGCCTGTATTACTTGATGGAAAGTTCCTTTTTAAATCGTTAAACTTACATTATGCTCCCTCAGTATAGTGCAGATCCCCATCCGGTGTGTCTCCCCCTCCCCTCCCAAACAAAGACTGTCCCACCGGCTCCCTCACAGGCAAGATGGCAGCGAATATAAAAAACAAAACAGGGATTTATTCATCTCTTATGGTGCCTAAATTTAGTGGATCATATAAAAACAATGTATGGAATTAATCTGCAAAATGAGACCAAACTTTTAATCTCAGTTGTTGAGCCAAGACAAAGGCCAAAATGTGATAGACGGACACACACACACACACACACACACAATCAAACACATGACTTCCCCACAGTCTTACGCCTGACAAGAGATAATAATAATAATAATAATAATAATAATAAAAACTGTTTTACTGGTTGTTAATCTGTCTCATTGTTGTCTTCTTTACATCTCTTCCAGGAGTCCATCAGTGATTTCTATTGGTATTATTCTGGGAAAGATGTTATTGACGAGCAGGGCCAGAGGAATTTCTCCAAGGCAATAAATGTGGCCAAGCAGGTTTTCAATACGCTGACAGAGTACATCCAGGTACGAGAAGACACTGACTTATTCCTGTTTCAGTCAGTGTTATAAACTGACACCTCTATCTCTTAGAAAAGTCTCAAAAGTTGATGAAAAGGTTAAATAATCCAAATTGAAGGTGTTTAACAGTCATAATTAGTCTTTGGTGATTATTAGACGTCCCTTACCAGACTGAGCTGTTGCTACATTCAAATGCTAAACATGAGTAAGACGGAGATCTTTCTAACTTCTCAACATATTCATTTGAGGAAATGTTTACAGTGACAGTAATAAGAAAGGGATTTGTTGGCAGTAGCCATGCTTGTCTGTTTTTGGGTATGACAAGAAATCAGTCATCTGACAGACACATTTTCTACCATGTAGGTAATGGACAGCTTGAAAAGCAACATTACATTGATATTCTACTATATAGGATGTTCCTGTAGCAAATGCTCACATATATGACTGTCGGAAACCTGATTATGATTGTTCCTAATGCTGTTGTAGGGTCCGTGTACTGGCAATCAGCAGAGTTTGGCCCACAGTCGACTGTGGGACGCTGTGGTGGGGTTTCTGCATGTCTTCGCTCATATGCAGATGAAATTGTCTCAGGTGAGTTAAAGTCACTGTGGACAAGGTGGTGACAATATAATCACAACATCCCCAGTTTGAGTTCAGCCATGGACCTCTTTTACCGCATCTCTCTGTCCCGTTGTTTCCTGTCACATCTCCACTGTAAACTATCTTATGTGGGAAAAACGTTTCCAAATATAGTACCTCACCGTCTACCACTACCATACTATACCACCGCAACTGTTGGGACCAGCCTCCCTGAAGAAAGCTCATCTTGGTTATTTGTATAGCTAAAGCATGAAAGAACCAGAAGAAAGGATGAACTGAGCGTTTTGCTCACGGCAGCCAATACATTTTGAAGACTTCCTGGAACTCCTCCACCTGGGAACATATTATAATGTCCTCCTCGTTAACATTAAACTGCATTCGTGCTTTTTGCCTTCAGGGTATTCATTTCTAATTCTGAATTAATAAAGCAAAGGGGATATGATAAACATCTCCTAGAATTCATAGTAACCTTCCTTCAATATGGCTGCTAATTCCTTCACATTCTCATCATATACTGTATAAATATCTAACTTTAAAATATCAATTTGAGAAACCTCTCTGAGTTTGTTCTCCCTGCGATGGCTCAGAAAGTCTTTTTGTCTCCTTCTTTTTTCACATCAGGACTCCAGTCAGATTGAGTTACTGAAAGAACTGATGGATCTTCAGAAAGATATGGTGGTCATGCTGCTGTCTATGCTGGAGGGTAGGTTTGCTTTCATAAGTACTCTGTTATTAAATATTAAAGCAGGAGTAGCTTACTGAAAGAGTTAATAGAATGACACAAACAAAAGGTCACAAGGTTATCACATGGGTATTTGCACTGTTAAATGATATTATTCAAATCAGTCAGCAGTGTTTGCTAAGTTTGATGCTACTAACAACATTTAATCATCTCTCAAAAAAGCTGTTTGAGTGAGTGGACACACATGGCTATTAAAGGGCTTTTCCATGTTGCTGTCTATAGTGCTAGACAGGCTGATGATGGAGTAAATAGACTACTTTAGGTGTCTGCAGGCAGGGTTTGTATCGTTGCAATGAGGTGCCTTCAGGAACTGAAAACAAACTGTGAAAGGGTTAAAGTTGTAAGATGAAAACATGGACAACACCCAAACCTGTCAATCACCGTGTAGCCCCGCCCTAAAGCATCCCCTGCTTTATGGTCTGTTTGACTCTAAATGGACCATTATCTACTAAATGAACATCATGCTGTATTGAAGAAGACTTGAAACTAGAGATTGAGACCATAAACCAGGTGTCCCCAACTGGCGGACCGCGGTCCGGATCCGGACCCAGACGCATCCGGACCCAAGATCTCAAACCAATAGATAATTTTGAAACCTACATATTACAGAACCAGTTTACATGTTAACCGGCACAACTTATTCAGCCGTTACGGCACTTGTTCAGCGGTGCAGGAAACATGCCGACCAATGTGTTGTAAATCACATCACGTGATGCAGCTCAGCCAATCAAATATGGGTATTCTGACATGTTTCCTGATTTGAGTGAGATGAGGTGTACACACACCGTGACAAACGAGGGAGAGACGAGGAAATAGAAAGAAGAGCAGGAATATATCGCTGATCAGAGAAGTTATCCCACATGACATTCTCCAAAAAGAGAAACGTGTTCAGAGAGAACAGAATTTATAAGCATGAATGAACAGACTCTTCTATGTTAATTCTTCTCACAGGAAGTTAGAACCAGCATGTCTCATATGTTCAGAAACGTAACTATTGATAAAAGCGGCAAATTAAGCGCACTACCAGACAAAGCACAACTCTTTTGAACAAACGTACCATCTCCCATCTAAATGAAGACACAGAAAATAAACCTAAGAGCCCAAAATGATCAGAATCCTAACACATGAATTCACTTCACAACAATAATGTTACCAGAGAGAATAGAGCTGAAACAAGTGGTTCAATAACCACAGATAAAGTCCATGCTCACTGATTTATCTTGTTAGATAAAAAATATAATATTGTGGCTTTTTGATTGACATCACTTCACACTGAATGAACTGAATTTAAAGCTGCAGGACAATTCAGTGAAATTAATTTCTCTAAAATGAATTACTTTATTTTAAGATGCACATTTCTGAAAATATTTCTGTTATGTCAGTTATTCTTTAATCCAGCCCTTATTGTACTTGAAACGAGAAGAACATTTATTTATGTATTTCTATGTATTATTTATAATCCATCCAGTTAAATTTGAAAACTGAGAATAATAATTGTTAAAAAATAATTGATGTGTACTTCCTTTATTTGATTTGACAGTTGTTGACTACACAGATACATTGTTACTACTACTAGGCTTCTTGAATATATTTATATATATATGCCACTAAATAGCGCAAGTTAGATATTATTGTAATGTTTTGGACCTTTGCCCGAGGAGATTTTCTCAATCTGGACCTTTTGGAATTTTAGTTGAAGACCCCTGCTATAAACTCATGTTTACAATGTTTACTGAGGTAATAAATCAAGAGAGAAGTAGAGTCATTTTCTCATAGACTTC